GAAATGCTCCAAGTAATATTCTAATATTCTTATATTATAGAGCTCCAGCACATGTTAGCATTCTATACCCTCTCAAGAACTGTACAGAAATACATTTACTTTATTTAATTTAAGATTTCTTAAGGCTATTTGACCATAGGATTTTTTCTGCATAAAACACTTGTTATTATCTGACAAAATTAATATTATACAGGACACATAGTCTGAAATGCAGTTTTAGATCTCTGAAACTCTTCAATGTGTTAGCCTTGCCTTTATGGCCAAATAATTTATGGAGTAGTGACTATAAAATAGACTAGTGCTCCTGTACACTTAGTTGGCTTCATTTTTCTACAGTTATTACTTCTGAGATTTTTTTTTTTTTTTTTTTGAGACGGAGTTTCGCTCTTGTTACCCAGGCTGGAGTGCAATGGCGTGATCTCGGCTCACCACAACCTCCGCCTCCTGGGTTCAGGCAATTCTCCTGCCTCAGCCTCCTGAGTAGCTGGGATTACAGGCATGCGCCACCATGCCCAGCTAATTTTTTTGTACTTTTAGTAGAGATGGGGTTTCACCATGTTGACCAGGATGGTCTGGATCTCTTGACCTCGTGATCCACCCGCCTCGGCCTCCCAAAGTGCTGGGATTACAGGCTTGAGCCACCGTGCCCGGCCTCTGAGATTATTTTATATTTTAGAGACAGGGTCTCACTCTGTCACCCAGCCTGGAGTGCACTGGTGTGATCCTGGCCTAGTGCAAACTCTGCTTTCTGGGCTCAAGCCATCCTCCCTTCTCAGCCTCCTAAGTAGCTGGGACTATGGGCACGTACCACCACACCTGGCTAATTTTTCTGTATTTTGTAGAGACAGGGTTTCGCCATGTTGCCCAGGCTGGTCTTAAACTCCTGGGCTCAAGCAATCCGCCCACCTCAGCCTCCCAAAGTGCTGGAATTACAGATATGAGCCACTATACCCGACCCTGAGATTATGTTATTAATTATTTTGTCTCTTTCTCTAGAGCATAAGCACTATAAATATAGGGGTGTCTTATGTTTTATTCACTGCCATATCTCCAGTGTCTAGAACAATGCCTGGGATGTAATAGGTATAAATATGTTTTTGTTGAATGAATGAGTGAAATGAGTACAAAAAAATACATGTTGATTTATTGGCTAAATTTGTATACATTAATCTTATGTTCTTGTTCTGCTAAGGGAAGAGTAGAGCAGATATGTACTTTAATCAGAAGGGTTTAACAAGATTCCAAAGAAAAGGGCAATTTCACTCACCATTTGGAATGGACCATTTTTTGTTGATATATGATTGTAACAAATAATAGTATTAATATTAATAAAAATAACCAGAGAATGTAAATTTCCAAGAACATCTTGGACAGTAAATGAGACAGGATTGGATTTATTATCTGTCCATTAAGTCTATTTTAATTTATGATTAAAGCATTGGAGAGGACCTGGGTAACCTGATACTTTCACCAACAAGGCATGGTAAAAGCAACCACAACCGCTGACTACATGATCCAAATCCAGGCCCAGCTCTGCTGTTAAGAAGCTGGGTAAGTCACTGTGTAACTCACTTTTCTGGGCCACTCTTTTGTTATCTGTGAAATAAGCAGACTGGACTAACATATCTTGAAGGTACCTTCTGTATTTAATGTTCCATGATTTCCACAGTTCTGGATTCATTACTTTCCTCCTTTATAAATCAGTCTCTCCGACTGCTTACTGTTCATCACACTGTTTTGAATTCTTTCTCTGTGGCTACATTTTGAGTCTCTTAGGAACTGACTTCAATAGGCTATTATTTGGATTCACTGGGTCCTTGTTGTTATTCTGAGGTCAGCTTCTGCCCACTCATTTGCCATCCATCACCAGTCTCCAGACCTTCCAAACAAAACCTATTGAATCACTTTCTAGGGTCAGGATGAGGGTCAAACATCCCTAAGAGCACATTTCCCACCAACTGGCGCTTGGTGCACAGACTCTCATCACTCAAAGTCCCAAATCAGCTAAGTCCTGAGGGATCTGCTAGGGAAATCAGTCAGATTGTCAGTTTTCTCATTGCATTCCAGGCCATTCAGTTTATGGAGAGGGTCTGAGTGAAGCACGTAGATTAAACCTGGCCTCTTCTTTTACCATTCTTTAGAGTTCAGGTCAATCTTGTCTCCCCAAGGAAGCCTCAGTTCTGCTTCCTCTTGGTTAAGATCTCTGGGCTCTCTAACCCGGGGGTCTAAGCCTCTATTATCTTTGCATGTTTCTCTCTTCTAGGAGTCTTCCAGGGTTGGGTTTACTAAGGGTCATCCACAACGGCAGGCTTGAGCTTTCCGTGTAGCACCATCCAAGTGGGAGGGGAGGAAGACAGCATGGAACTGGAGAAGCTACATGAATGTCTCTTTTGTAGCTACATTCTCTTTTCTGTTGTCTCCCAGAGAAAAAGGCCCTTGAGACAAAATTACTTCTTTTCAGTGAGTTTCACGGAGGAAGTTTCATGGATTCAGTTGTTGGTGTGAATGTTAAATTAAATGTTAATGTTAAATCAGTATGTTAAAATGAGAACTATTCTAAATATATGTGGGGAAAAAAAAACCTGATGCAGTAAAACCTCCTTTAGAATAGTGTGTTTCTTGTTAAATACCAAAAATTAGCACCATTTTGCTGATCCTAAAACATGAAGTTTAAGGCCAAAAAATTTTTAGATTCTCACAATGGATTTTTCAGAGTTCTTAAAAACATTATCATAAACTCCCATATATTCTAAAATAATTAAACGGAAGTTCTTGGAGCTATCTTGCCAAGGTCATTTGGAGATTATTTTCTGAGCTGCTTTGAAATAATGAAAAAAATTGTAATGTGAAATGTAATTACTTAGAACACTGTAGAATAAAGCTACAGTAAATTCCTTCACAGTTGAACTAAACTGTTTAACACATGGAATGTCTAATTGACAATTCTGTACCAAAGTGTAAATTTGTCAAGGAAGGATACACAACAAGTTTTTTTTAACATCTCAGTGAGTGCTGTTGTGATTTGGATCTATTACTTCTGAATATTGCATGAAGCTGACAAGCACTTGTCATTTAAAGACCACATGGAGGCATTTAGTTTTCCATTTAGACATAATAACACATTATGCAAATAAGCTTGCAAAGGAAAGCTGGAGGCTGACATGAAATAAACTGTCAAACACAAGTTGCTAATAAATGAACATTTCTTTATAGATTGTCTTAATTTGGGGAGTTGAAAAATACATTTGGCTGTGGTGGATCAGGAACCTTACTATATTGGTACATAGTAGAGGTTTCAGTTGCTGGCTTTGCAACGACATTCCTTCCTTCCAATTACAGCAAGAGGTTTTAGTTTAAGAAAAACTCTCAAAACTTACATTTTATAAAAGAGGTTTATAAGTAAATTGTATTCCCACATTTTCATGGTTTAGAGATATCCTCATTTGATTTATTCCCATGTGATTATTCACTCCTCATTTTCGCACTGTCCTGTAATAGGTCTAATACTTTCAGTCTGATCTAGATAACAAGGTTATTGGAATTCAAAGGAGTTTTTGACATTTGTAATTTTAACTAGACAGGATTTTTCAGAGAACACATCCAAATCTCCTGGAAGCCTTCTTAAAAATGCATATTCCTGGAAGCCTTATTACAAATGCACATTACAGAGTACCAACCAAGACTGACCTAATCAGAATTTCTGGGAGTAGGACTTACTAATTTGCATTTTTGAAAAGTAGCCCAGTAATTCTGATGTTCAAGAGAGTTTGAGTAACTCTGGACTAGACAGTCCTTGAAGGCCCATGACAAGTACAATTTTAAGACTGCTAAAGCGGGAATTTGTGTTTTAAATCAGGTGTAGCATGAAGTTGGGGATTGATTTCTTTCTGGTGAGTCTGGCTCAAGATGCAGCATTTGCCACTTAGCGGGCTGCATTCTGCATTTGTCCTCATGTAACAGTAACTCCAATGAAGTAATATACAAAACACAACCAGAGCGATTTGTCTGTGACAGCAGCCCCCATGGGCAGACCTGGAAGTGGGACGGATATCAGAAGTAGGAGAAGCTGGTTGGGAAAGGGGGAAGGTCTAAGTGCAGAGTCAGAGCAGAGGCTGTTTAGCCGTCTCCCTTCATCTAGTCTCTGCCCAGAAGTATTCTTGAGAACTTTTGGTCATTTTTTTTTCCCACAGAACATAGTAAAGATGGCAAAAGTTTCCTTCTGGCCTGGTGTCATGGTTTATGCCTATAACCCTGGCACTTCAGGAGGCCAAGACAGGAAGATCGCTTGAGCCTAGGATTTTGAGACCAGCCTGGGCAACATAGCGAGATGCCAGCTCTAAAAAAATGTTCGTTTGAAAAAAAAAAAAAATGTTCGTTTGTTTGTTTGTTTTAATTAGCTGGTGTGGTGGCATGCACCTGTGCCCCAGCTACTCGGAGGTTGAGGTGGGAGAACTGCTTGATCCCAGGGGGTCGAGGCTGCAGTAAGTCATGATTGTACCCCTGAACTCCAGCCTGAGCCGTGATTGATTGTACCACTGAACTCCAGCCTGGGCAACAGAGTGAGACCCTGTTTCAAAAAAATAAAAACAAAAATGTTTCCATCATTTCCTTAAATTAATTGGGAGAGCATTAGACTGAAGCAGCTGCAGGGCTCTGGGTTTCTACTTAAGCAAACGGAAACCCAACTCAGTATAACTATTCTAGAAAAACAAGCTTAAGCTTAACCAATTAGAAACTACTAACCTCTAACTAGTGACTTCCTAGTGGAATGATGGAAATAAGATTGCTGTTTGTTGCATTTTAACTAATCAAATAATTTCTTGGCCTTGCTTCTGATAGTAAAAGCCTTCCGCTTGTGCCCTTGGGAGGCCCCTCTGAAACACTTCTGGTTTGGAGCCATCTGATTCCTAAATCATTGTCTACTCAAGAAACTCTTTAAAATGTTGATGTGCCTAAATTTATCTTTTTTTAAAAAATCTTTTTTTAAATAATTTTTTATAAGCCTACAGCACCCGGTATTCCCAGTCGGTCTCCCATCCAAGTACTAACCAGGCCTGACCGTGCTTAGCTTCTGAGATCAGAGGAGATCAGGCGTGTTCAGGGTGGTATGGCTGTAGATTAAATTTATCTTTTAACACCCCTCAGACTTCCTTTTGAGCCCCTTAACTATGAGAACAGGAACACTCTTCTGTTCCCTGACACTGCTGTACTGTTGCTTAGTTAGCTGTGAGTTCAGACTTTAATGAATTCAATTCCGCATCCAGTTTAGATTATTGAATTAGCTCACATTTTTGTCCCTGGTTCAGGTGCTTGAAAAAACATTTGCTTTATCTGCCACCACTCATATGGAGGCATCCCAATGTGTCTCTAATGCTGAAGTGCAGTTGTTGTTTCTTTTAATGCCAATCTCCTGTCTGCCTTAGTTTCCCAACCTACGTATTGACAAAGATTCCCCAACCAAATTTGAGTCAGGCTCCTCTGAGCCCTCTTCTCTACTAAGCCTTGACCTTGGTCCCTGTCTTTGCTGGATTTGCATAGCCCACTTGTAGCAAGAATCCTACTGAATCAATTTAGGGAGAATGTCTCACCCTCATAATCTGATGAAATTTTTCATGCCCCAACCTTGATATCTGTCACCCAGGCTTGCTTTCAGCAATAATTTTGTTAAATTGGCTTAGAAAGAATTCTCCCACCCTTGATGTTTTCTCGTAGTAATTTTCCATTCACTGACGTCATTCTGCTTGTTGGCTGTCAATCTCCATTTGTCTTTGCTGTATTCAGTTCTATCCTTTAGTCTCTTTCCCCCTATTGTAATATTTTATGAATAAAATCTGTTTGAACTGCTCTAACTACTATCTGGATGAGGTTTTCTTTAACAGTTACAATACCCAAACTGGGACGGAATCAGATTTCTCATTGAACCCCCAGGTGTCTCACTCAAGACCCCAACTGCACATCTTTGAGGTCTTTCAGGAAGCCCTAGTGGGTCCCACTCTGGAGCCAGTGCCCCAAATCACTGTCCACTGAAGCACAGAAAGGACAGGTTTGGATTTTTAAGACTCTGGGTATGCTATCTTTGTCTGAAAGATATCTCCTAGGCTGGAATTCCTTCCTGGCTCCTTGTTTCAAGTGGGGATGCACTCCTTGACTCGTTGGCTAGAATTTTTTTTTTCTGGCTCTTTGTGAGGCCTCTCTGTTCTCTCTATTGCATCCTGTTTCTCCCATAGAAAATTCTCAGTCTACTAAAACTCAACCACCTCCTCAAACCCTCCCAACGACATGCTCCACCAACTCTGTCTGCTTCCTTTCTTGTTGGCGTGACTTCACTAAGGATAATTTGGAACTTCATTCTCTTATTATCTACCCACACTAGCTCATCTAGGACATCTTCTCTTCCCTTCTCTTTCTCCTTTACTACCTTCGATCTTCCCATCAGCTTTCTTGAATCCTTTGATATGCCCGTCTTTAAAGACCCAACCTCCTCTATTTCTCTGTGTGCTCCTGCCAGACTTTAAGTCCAGTCTGCTTAACTCCAGTTAAGCAGTCCAGCTGTTTAACTCTAGTCCAGGGGCTTAACTCCCTACAGTCACTTGAAATTTGGGTCCCTTGTCTCCACAGGGGGCTCTCAAGGGATTCAGAAGCCCTCAACACGACAATCTGAAGCTTAAAGGACAGAGAGAAAAAAAAAACTAATTTAAAATAGGCATAAATTTTACCCCCTCAGATGGGCTTTGGAAACAACCAATCACTTGGTATTTCCAAAAGGTTCAATACCCAAAATTTAATCTACAACCTCCATAAGATTACACATCAAAGCAAATGAAAATCTTAAGAGTTTCCTCTGTAAATAGTGCCAAAAAGAACTAGTTATCATCTTAAGCAGGTCATCTTAATTTGTTTCATCTGCCAAAAACACAATTCAGAGAAAGATGAGAGCCAACTATCTTACATAAACTAGTGAGTTTTGTATTATTTTATTTGCCTGTGTCATAGCTAAAATTTAAAAATGAAGTATTGAGGTCTCCATTTGTGTCTGCCTGTATGTTTATATGTGCATGTATGTAGGTTATATACATGTGATATTTTTCTTCCTCCTGATTGTATTAGCAAGCTTATTTATAAAATTCCTAAAAAAAAAAAAATCTGTTCAAATTGACTGAAGGCTAAGTAATTTTGTATTAGAAATGAAATACTCTTACAACTCAAGAAATATAGAAAGTAACCCAAATGTTTTTCAAATTTATGTGATTTGAGTAAGACTACTGATATAGTTCGGATATTTGTCCCTTTCAAAATCTTATTTGGAAATATGGTTCCCAGTGTTGCAGTTGGGGTTTGCTGGGAGTGTCTGAGTCATGTGAACAGATCCCTCATGAATGGCTTGGTACCCTTCTTACAGTATGAGTTTACCCAAGATCTGGCTGTTAAAGATACTGGGACTTCTCCTCTCTCTTGCTCCCTCTCTCATCATCTGACATGCTGGCTCCCCTTCCCTTTCACTGTGAGTAGAAGCTTCTTGAGGCCTCACCAGAAGCAGATACCAGCACTATGTTTCTTGTGCAGTCTGCAGAACTGTGAGCCAAAATAAACCTCTATTCTTTATAAATTACTCAGCCTCAGGTATTTCTTCATAGCAATGTAAAATGGACTAATACAACTAGTTGGTTATTGTTGGTTTAATAAAAATAGGTATACCTTCTCAGTTATCAGAATAAAGAATAATATGAACACATATTTTTATTCTATTTGGGTTTAATAGTCAAATAAGGTGACATTACAGCTACTAGATGTTTAAGATTATAAAAACTATAAATTCAACCTAAGAACAAGTGTACAAGTGAAAATGCAGTACAAATGAGTATTAATGGCTTGATATATATATCAAAGCACAGTAGTAAATAAAACATAGGCACATGTATTTAAATTTAAAGGTTTTTTTCTATTGTAATTATTTTGATACTTTCCTAACATGCATGTATTATAAAAACAGTTAACAGGGAAATAACTCAAAATGATGACTAGTTTTGTTTAATGTCTTATAAAATTTTCATGAACAATTTAAGGAGAACTTTTTAAGAACATGTATTAAGTTGACATACATGGAGTAAAAGTTTTATGAAGAGACTTTTCAACAATATTTATGTTTTATGGTATCTATAAAGTAAAAATAGTTTCCAAAAGCATTTTAGAAATGTGCAATCTTTGACCTATGCTAAAGTAAATAATGTAATAAATATTATTAATTTATAAGATAAATTACTAAAACATTGACTAATAAGAATAAGTGTAAATTTATTATTAACTTGTAGAAGGTTTACAGAAAAGGAAGGTGGGGAAAAGTGATTTCATATGGTCAAGCTAAGATTTGATGGATTTATTTATAAAGTTTTTTTGGATGAAATTTTTTTAGAATATTGGTCTGCTCTTAATATGATATTATAAAAGGTTTTTCTTTACCTTTTGAATAATCTACCTAGAAAACAAACATTTTGTGCCTTATCAGAATAATTTCTTGTGTTTTTTGATAACTTATATTATTCCCTCGATTATTTAAGAGAACCAAGTATCTCACTTTTAAAAGAGCTAACATTGGCCAAGTGCAGTGGCTCACGCCTGCAATCCTAGCACTTTGGGAGACGGAGGTGGGTGGATCACCTGAGGTCAGGAGTTTGAGACCAGCCTGGCCAACATCATGAAACCCTGTCTCTACTGAAAATACAAAATTAGCTGGACATGGTGGTGGGTGCCTGTAATCCCAGTTACTCGGGAGGCTGAAGAAGGAGAATTGCTTGAATCCAGGAGGTGGAGTTTGCAGTGAGCCAAGATCATGCCACTGAACTCTAGCCTGGTGACAGGGTGAAACCCTATCTCAAAAATAAATAAATAAAAACACAAAAATAAAATAAATAAATAAATAAAAGAGCTAAGATTTTTTTACAATTATTTTACCTCCTATAGTTACTTTTGAAATCTTGTATTGTCACTTTGGTTAAATAGGTAATTGTTAAGTACTGTTTCACAGTGACCTAGTATCTTATTTAGTCAAGTGTCCAAGACTTTTGACACTTTTGATATATTTCCTTCCTCAAATAAAATCCTAATAATTTTGAGATTTCACATAGGGCCCCTGGAAAGTCTCAAATGATTTATTCTTTCACCTTGTAAAAGGAGAAATGCTTTTGAAAAAGTGATGTTTATTGTATATATTAAATTGCATGAGAAATGTTGTCAAATAAGAAGAGATGCTTACTCTTCCCTGGGTTAAGCATTCATATTTGTGTGGATATAAGGTATTAATACAAATATGTTAGCAATTATATAGTTCCTAGAAAGTTGTTAATAACTTAGCTGCCTATGATATGCTTAGTAAGCATAATTTTATTAGTCACATGCCAGTTATTATTTTGAAATGTTGTATGCTATAGAAATTACCAGATTTTCTTGTCAAATGAACTCTCATAACCTTTTTAACTATGGCCACTGTAAGTCTTATCTAAGTCATCATAGATAGTTATTATTTTACTCTGATGCTTTCTGAAAATACTTGCAACCAGCTACAGGTCAGAGGGCTTTGTTTTCAATGAAAAAGAACTGTTTCAGAGATGCATAAAAAGGACTATGGCAGAACCCAAACCTGAGTGCACAGATCCTTACTGGGACTATCCAAAAAGCCTGGTGAGCTGAAGTCAGACTCTCTCGTGCTCTGCTTGGGATATAACCGTGGCTATGACACTGATGTCTATGATATCGCCAAAAGTGTGCAAACTTCAAGCCAAGAAATCTGCTGGGTTGTCACTTCTGTCCTCACTTTACCATCTAAAGCCAACGTCTAGAAATATCCTTTACGGGTTGTGCTATGGACTTAAAAACTGGGCTTGTAGACTGCTCTGACCACTAAACTTATTTTTTCTTTTTATTTTCATGGAACTTATCCTCATTAAATGTCTGATGGTTTGCACTATCCAGCAAATATTCTTTACTACCAAGTCCCAACAGATGGTTCATCTGGTGCTTAATGAACAAAAGAAGTATAAATAAATTTGTATTGTTTAGAGGAAAGAAAAATATCTCTTCTTTCTTTGAACGAGAAGAACTGACAAAGACCAAACTTTAGTTCGG